CTTTCTTGGCAGGAGATGAAATGATTGTAAATACAGTACCTATTATTCCTTCTCTTTGGTGTTGAGTCCCCCTCCCATGAGCATTTTGCAGATCCAATCTCTCACCTTCCAGGAGAGCCCTGAACAAACAAGACACGTTATTTTTTCCTATTTCAAGAACACAGACAAATAGCTGAGTAGGTCATTTTGGCTTTGCCATCTCAACCCCTTCAAACTGAGCGAGAAAGGCTTCTTACGAGACGGTATGCAGCTAGCAGCTAGTCATGTAAGGTGCTAATCATCGACAACATAACATAACAAGCCTCTGTCGTGTAGGCTGTTAAAGAATTAGCTTCAGCGGCTCACCTTTCCTTGGACATACTTCAACAAACATACAAAGGCTAACAAGCATGCCTCAGAACGGAACAACCTCCCCGGAGACCGCCTTCCCAAAGACTGACCTAAAAATAAGTCACAATAAGCAAAGACACATGCCGCCGCTGCCCCGTCGGAAATGCCAAAATATTTGTTCGGATTAATAGGGATACAAGAACAAAATTATGCGGTGTGAGATAAGAAGTTATGATGTTTCAAAGATAGCTTAAAAGAAATGTTATTTTTAGACATGGAAATATATTATGTTTATTTTTTGGTTTAGCTTACAGTAAAAATAGTGTGTTAGTATGTGGCCCTTAATGATCCGGCTATAAGACTAGACATTCAGGGATTTTAAAGGATATGATATGGCAGATAAAATTACGACAATACTTAAAATAAATCAGAGCAAATTTTTAAACTTTGTGTGGTACAGGTATTTTTCACGAGATTTATTCTGTGTTTAATGAAATAACTAATTGAGCTAAGAGTAGCTTCATGCTGTGCGGAAGAGGGGGGCGTTTTTTCCAGTAATCTCATCTCATCAGCATTAAAATATCACTGAAATAAGAGAATGTACCTATTTTAGCCAACTTTCTTCATTCACAAAAAAAACTGTTAACTTAAAGCCCCACATTCAACAATGTACTTGCTGTACTTTGTTTTCATTACAATTTCTAACATACTAATGCCTTGTCATACTTTGGAGCACATTCTCAATGTTGGTAATAAAAACATTAAAAAAATACCCTGGGCTTATAATAGGCTTGGAAGGTAAAAGGTAAATGTCTAAACAAGGTAACATAAGTATGGAAAAAGACTTGGTTTTGGTTTGATCGACCCACTCCCACTGCTATCCACCCTGTGTGACTTATGTTTGCTACATTATACTTACGCAACGTACTTACTCGGACACTTGAATGGATGCAGCAATTGTTGATATTATTAGTAACACTGGTTCTTTTTGTACTATGACAAGTCAGACCGTCCACTGTGAAAGTTCTTTCACAAGTTCTTCACGTCAGAGGAACTGACGTGAAGCCAGCTATTGTAATATGTATGTGTATTTAAAGGCAGCCCAACATACACATAATAAATATGATACAATTTTTCAAAATACACATGCAGAATCTTCCCTCTTTACACTGAGCCATGAAGAAGGGGAGGACACGCCCCCTTGTCCCAGCCACGCCCGCTTCTCTCAAAGGCAGTAATGCAGTTGCAGCTGCAATAGTAGTAGTAGTAATAATAGTCATTCACAATCAAGAAAAATTATAACTCTAAATTGTAATTATGCAAAGGCAGTAGATGTTGGCTCCGAAATTAAGGCAAACAACCCCACCTCAATACATGAGGACATGACCGACACGAGGTGCTCGACGAAGTTTTGCGTTTGACATTTGACCTCCGCATAAAAGGATTGACTAGCTTGATCAGCTAAACTACGTTCTACCTCCCCGGAACTCTAGCAGTTAGATTACAGCAGCCACTTAAACCAATCGCCGTCAGTTCCTCAGTTCCTTCTCCAAAGACAAATCCCAGCTATTTTAATCTTATCAGCCAGTAATTTACTTTTCCTCACCTGATATTCACTGAAGTCCATGCGGAATTTCTCCTGCATGTGCATCAGTTGTTCTTCGAGGTGGAATTGAATCTGACATCGCTTTTCCGCCTCTGTGCGCAATTCGCCACCTCCGCTGCATACTGCATCTTCTCCCTCTGCAGGTCACCCAGCCTCGCCTGGTGCGGTTTTATCGACTGCTCCATTTCTTCCACCTTCAGCTGGTACATGTCAAAGGTCTCGATCCATCCGTCGGAGAGAGTGCGCGCGTACTCTTGCACCTCCTCCACGGACGCCGCCGGAGTCCCGCGATAAGTTTGCGTAATGATGGGCACCACCCGGGAATCCACCTGCCGCCGCAGATGATCCTTTTCTTGCCTGTGCACATCCTCCAGGCGCTTGTACTCGTTCTCCAGTTGAAACAAACGCTGCTGCAGTTCCCCGTTGGTTTGTGCGCGTGCTGGAGCTCTTTCTCATAGGCCTTCACCTCGCCGCCGATGTCTCTGCACACCCCGGTCTGCTCGCTGCACAGAGACAACTCGCGCCATAGCTTCTCCCTCTCCATCTCGGCCTGGGACTTCTCAAACGACAGCAGCTCCACCATTCTCCTCAGCTCCCTGGTCTCGCTCTTTTGCTTCGGCTCCCATTCCGCCGTCTTCCTCCGTCTGAGTCGATTCATTTCAGTAATGAGAAACGCATTTTCCTGTTCCTATCTGAAGTGAAATACTGAGAGCAGACGGGATGTCCCCGTGTCATTGGCGCGTGCGCGTCCGTGGGCTCGACAACGCCGTATGCGTATTTAGGGGCTGTCTGAAATATGATTCCTCTGATCTCAACGCAACAGCCTAATTAAGGATTTGGTGGAAACAACTGTTAAGTAGATGCTAAAGAAATGTTAAGTAGTAAACTGAAAAGAAGAGACGAGGAAATTGATAATCAAAAGTTATTTTCATGGGTTTAGTTGGGGGTTCGCTGTCTTGTCTTGATTTAAGAGTTAGGTAAGGAGCAGGCAGACACGAGTCTGACAGGATGGGGAGTCAGTTTATGTCCTGGCTGAGGAATGTAAGGTCTGCGGGTCAACTAGCAGATTTACCAGCCAAAGGGGGGTTAGAGACACACCAACACTATTCAACATACACACTCTGTTTACGATGTTTACGTTAAGTCAGGAGTCTGGACATTGGATGTGACCGGATCTTTAGATGCGGGGGGGTGGAAGGTCCTCCTCTACGCCAGTTTAGGGCCAATAGAAATCTTTCCTTCTCTGTCTTTCAAGGGTTATAAAACATGATGTTCTTGCTGATGTTAGTGAGTTGTTCTTCCGGCCTGTGTGCTGCCTGAACTGCTCCTGCCTTTGCAAACGCAGCGCTGATATTTGACCTGTGATCTGACAAATACATTTCCCAGAACGAGAGAAGTCATTCGGCTGAATTTTTGATAACCCCGACCAGGCTCCAATTCTTGAACACGTATTCTTACAAAATGGAAAAAGAACATTGTTGCAAACGATCTTCTTGTAGGCAATAGTTGATGTTTACTAATTTAATGTTTTTTTTTATGTATTTGAGTTTACTTTATTCATGTTTTGTCTCTGCATTTTGTTTATGTAGCATTCTTTCTAGCTAAATAATTTATTTGGCTAAAAAGAATACAAAAATTGGGCTTGAAAATGGCGCAAAAACGCACGTCACCACGCCAACGTAAACAAATATGATGTACGATTGAGGGTATTTATTCCATACCTTTCACTCTCTGATCTGAACACCTTCCGGGATCTTTCCTCATAAGATGAGAGGTCATTGTAAATAATGTTTTTACAGTTTTTCATGAAAACCGCTTAATGAAAAAATGCAATATTTAATAAACAAATGTGCAAATATCATCTGATTTCACGAGGGGCTTTTTGTTCTATCCTTAATCGGTATAGTGTATACTTGCAAATTCAACATGACAGGCTGAAACCTGTGCAATTCTTCTAACATTTTTTTCTCCATGCTTTCGCTGGCTGTCCCGTTTTTAACGTCACATTGAAATTAGTTATGGGACGTTCAGATCTTTTTACCGACTCGGTTCAGTAAAATGAACAAATCTTTTTTTTGAGCGGACTCGTTACTCTCAAGTCCTTGTAAGGATTGAATCGTTCACGAACGACACATCACTAATTGAAATGGCCAAGGGCATCTACAGCTGACTGACGGAGAGAGTTCATAAATGGCTCAAAATGTCTACCAGAGAGCCCTCAACGATTTCCCAGTGGGATACCCTTAAACCTGCACAGGGTCAGCGGGGGCACCAGACCCACAAGGGTGGAGATTATTATTGGGACTGTGGGGCTCAGCTCTGTTATCATGTTGTGTCCTCTTCTTCTTCTCCTTTCTCTTCTTTTGATTTGAGTGTATTGGCGGTTGGCGGCCTCTGCAGCCCGTGGGCGGGGGCGTTATACGACAGTCGATAAAATGTGTTTTGAGAAAGTGTGAGTCACCGTAACCACAAGGTCTTTGAGCGTGCAGCGCTAACAGGCCACATGGGATATGAAGTAATATGCAGAACGCATGATTTGTTTTGGACAGACACGGGGAGGGGGGTGCACACACAAAAACATAACAAATTACAGATCCTCCTTGGGGAGGAAAAAAATAATGAACTCAAATCATACCAAACCATACACAATATTATTATAATAATTTTAAACAGTTAGTAAAATCCCCAAATTCGCAGGAAGAAACACAGACGTCATGACCTCAGCGTCATGAACCGTAGCCAAGGCTGCGTTGCGTTGAAGACACTACCTGTCGAAACGTATAATTACACACGGATTATGTAATAAGCGGGATAGTCTTACATTACCCTCTGTGTTTTATGCGGTCCCAGTTTGTTGTACATCTGGGCGCAGCTAGAGGTTCCAGTGGTCTTTTTGAAACAAACACGTGAAAAGATGAGCAGGTAGGCATCTGCTCCAGTGATGATTGACACTCAGCAATATGAGATAACACTCGTCTTGACTGGCACCTCTGCTCATTCGCCCCATGCTGGAGGTACATGATCACCGAATGTTCTGGAGGGATTAAATTGAGCGAACAGTAAAACATTTTTTATTCATTTATTTATTCAAAATCTCAGAAAAAAAGAAAATACAAGAAAATCTCAGATACACATTTGGAGATGGCGGGTCAAAATACGCCATCTCAGTTATAGGTGCGAAAGAACCTTTGAGGCCTTAGAGAGCTTGAAAAAAGACAGTCTAGTGAAGCTTTTTTTTTACCCAATCAGGTAATGAACACAGATTTTGTGAAGTTGTAATAAAATACTAGCAGTAAATCAAGGCCCCCTCAAAAGGTATAGGAATGCAACTCCTAAAAACAGAGGCATGATAATGATAAACCTCAAACTTATTATTGCAGTGTGAATGCATAAACCTAAGCTCTGCATTCAGAAGAATAAAAATGATAAAGATGACTAAAGTTGAATGTGTTTTAAGTTAGTTATTGTGTCTTTACACTGAAATCTGGCAATGCACAAAGCAACTATGTGATGCTGTAAACCTAGACCTATCATCTTTCTCTAATCATGTTGTTGTACTGTTAACCATGACTACCCATAATCTACGCAGAACACCCGTTATTTAAGTGACAGGTTTCTGATTCAATTGTAACCAGTAATTCACCTCACAAAAGGTCGATGTGATGTCTACTCATACGAACTGAAAGTTTTGTATTTCATCATTGCTTACATCCAAATGGAAATACATATATGCACAGATATGTAAAGGGACCACACGAGCCGTTGGCTGCTCAGTGGCGATTTTAGCAGTAATCAGGCGGTCTCCCCAACCAAAAATACTTTACTCTTTGATTCGCTTAAAATCTTACACGGATAGAAGGTTTGAGAACAACCTTAATTCAGGACATAGATTTGACATTATGTTATCAATAATCCATTCTTTTTTTGTCTTTTGCTTGTGGGTAATCATTTCAAGATCCTTCGCCTCCAGCCCAGAAGCCTCGCACTGAGACAGTCCTCTCCAAGTAGCCGCTGTGAGTAAAAGTTACGTTTTTAATGGAAGTTAAATATATAAACACTTCTTTAGCCATTTTCCCACTCAACAGTTTTGACAACAATATAAGCTCCACTGATGTGATCATTTCAACCAGTAGCATTAGTGTAGGTAGGAGTAGAAATAGGCATCGTAATGATGGAAATGCCAGGGAAGGATGTCTACAGTTCTCATCTTATGGTATTCAGAAAATAATTACACAGGGGATGTGATGCTGTTTACATGTTAAAAAGGATGTAATCCAACGATGACTAAATAATTATTGAAATGGTGTATTTCTACAATAGTAACATGCAGGTGGAAATGCTGCTACCTGTCTGCTGCTTGTTACATCACATAACTCATCCATATACGTACTGTAACAGAATATCATATTTGTGTGAATGGCATCTGGATGTGAGGTTTTTTTTTAGCCAATATATTGTTTTTCCTGGAGGTCAATAAAACATTCCCTTTTTAAATATTCCCCATTATAACTGTTGGGGCTTCTATATAAATACATTTTTGATTTGTTTTAAATGCCGTAACACTAGGTTTCTGTCTTTTGATGATTTTAAGGTTGTGGAATTATGTTGGTAATCAGTGGAGACGGAATATTTGTTGTTGATGTTGAGCCCTGGTCTCTTAAACTGCACCTGTGCCGTTTTTTAAAAATGTATCCGGTCAAATGAAAGGTTATGTTGACATAGTCACGTAAAATACCCAACACCAATTTATTCTGCAGAGAACTAAAGCGCACTGAAGTCCTCTCTTATGTCTTGTCAGAGACAGAAACTTACATTTTGTAAACTGGGCATGAAGTCGGTGGACTGAAATCGCAACAAAAGATATTCCATCTCTTTTCCAGGTTGACTTTGTGAGGTTTATCTAGATCCCCGTGGGATTCATCCAGATGAGGTTTCTATACATACCAATGGAAGTGAGATTCACTTGTGTTACAAATACGTTGATTTAAAAAGAGTGAGGTAGATATGTACTTGAAGGAAAATAAGAAAATAAAACTGTAAGTCCCCCAGTCATGACACCAAAGAAAATACATACAAAAATACAAAAAAAAACTTTATACTGAATCATGGGGCATTTATACAGTGATTTAAACTGATATCACAAGAGGTAAAATAAAATAGAAAAAAATCAATAAATAACACTCCTACAGAGAAAATAAAAACTTCAAATAGAGGGGAGGAAATAACAAGGCAACATTTCCAAATAGAGAAGGAGAAATCCTTCATTCAGCCTCCATTTAAGACGCTTTTCTATTCACGAAAGTGAAATGTCTTCCCTTTCCTGAACTTCATCTGCCTTTAACCCATCCGTTATTTGGTTTTCAGAAGCAGAGATCACAAAGACAAACAATAAGATCCGTTGCGATGAAGTAACATTAGCAGAAGTAGTCTTATATTGAGCCTGAAGTAATACAAAATAGGGAGAAAAAATATATATTTTGAGGGATGGTTGGCATAATTAACGCTTAAAAGACAACCCAATTATTGATTGAAGAAATGGATGGGTTAAAATACCAGATCAGGTGTAAATTCATCTCGCATTGACTCAAAAAGGAGGCATAGAGGGAAAAGAGAGAGAGAGGGGGACACTACTGGACTCAACACAACATGAAGGGGTTGGGGGGGTTACGTTGAGCCAAGTAGAGGACGATCATGAGAATGTGTGGAAAAAGCAAAGCCTTTACTTTAACCTGAGATTGAGTCGCACGTAGGGCAACGCTAGGCGCAGTGCTAGTACACAAGGGGTGCAGAAAGTACACACTCACACATCGAGCTAAGGTCTCTATTCCAAATAATAATAATAATAATATAGACAACAAACAAATGCAGGAGAAAATATTTCATAAAAATAAAAGGCAATGAACAAAATAGTGTTACAGAAAAACATTTGGGCTAACAGAAAATTATGTTTTTTGTTGCTTTTTGTTTTTTTAAACAGATTGAAGATATAAGAAATGGACTATAGTGGAGACCATGAAATACCAAACCTGAAGGATTTATGTATGTGTGTGTATATATATGCATATATATATACATATATATATATATATATATATATATATATATATATATATATATATATATATATATATATATATATATATGCATATATGCACAAGAGAAAAAGAATAAAATAGCAGCTTTGTTCTCTACAGACATAGAGGCAAACATTTTGAACTGTAAAAAGGTTTAAAAAAGTGACAAAACCAATAATGTGTATACAAATTATCCTGCAGTCTAAAATACAACTGTGAGACCTTTATATGTGTTTGAAATATAGAGAAACTAATGACTGTTCTAAAGGAGACCTGTTGAAAAGTCGTCTCTCGGCTACTAAAATCAATTTCTCATGTTTCTGTTCGTCACGGAATATTTGGTGCCATTTCATTGGAACAGCAGTGTCAGAGAGTAAAATGTTCCACCTCCCAAAATAAATGCACTGTTTTAAAGAGGTCAAAAAGCTTTGTCTCTATGTGGAGGCACATTCATATTCCTTGATTAGGAAGTCCAGTGACTTTGTGAAACGTGTGGTACTTTGTCTAGATTTTCTTCACCAAAATAAGGACAGACAGTCTGGCCATGTTTTTGCTAAAAAAAGAAGAAGAAGGCCTTTAATTGATTACCAAATGAATTGCAGATTACTTGTAAATTTACTAATGGTTTGAAATAAAATAGACATTGCCGTTATTTTTAATGAATTTCCTGTTAACCAATATTGCTTCAATAGATTAAAAAAAAACATAAACTTTAAATTTGATTAAAAAAGGCCACTGGTTACATTTCAAAATTCTAAATCAAACAGCCGTGCTTTTGCGTTGGCCCCTTTTCACACAAATCACTCGAGTGTCCTGTTTCTCCTCCAAGTCTCTCATGTCTTGCTAGATTTCTTCCAACCCCAGAAGCAGATGCTGTAAAAACTTTTGAACTGCGTGAATGAATGCAGGCTTCCCTAACAGTGACACCGTCCCACCCCACGACCCTCACCAGCATGAATCCTGCAGTCTACCAGCCGTCTCAACTCTGAGCCACAGCCGAAAAGGAGGGAGACCTGTTTGAAACTGAAGAAGAACCTTAATTTGGCAATAGTTTGGCAGATACACAAGAGGCCCCCCTTTTAGTCCAAACTTTCTGATGGAGGCCTTCTCGCAAGACACGAGCCGGCCCGCTCATGCAATTAAAAAGTAATTTTGAATGAATGTCTTTTAGTAATGGAGCCTTATTAGAATCACGTGTTCTGTACAAAGACACACCCAGAAAAAAGTGCTCTTCTGTTGGATTTGCTGGCAGATAAGCTGAAAAAATTACAATAATTTCCTGTCTAAATGTGTATGTCAGGGAACATGCCTGTAATGTTTTTCTTCTCAACGGACTTATATAACAACGACACAGGCGGCACAGGAAGGAGCTCCTCCGTGTCGAGTCCCAGCCACCAAAATCCTAAATGCTTTAGCAGGTCTCTCTACTTTTCCTCAGACTCTAGAGCTTCAAGGACTGGAGAGACCATCTACTGGAAGCCAGCAGAAGAGAGTCGTTTCTCACCTTTCACACCGACCTCCTTAAGAGACGGAGGAGGGGTTTGAGTAACCCTGTGCGAGAGGAGAAAAGGAGGACGAGGGGCTGGTCTGACATCACCAGGCCGACGACTGGGGCAGCGGCAACGCGCGCTCGTTCTTTCTGCCCCCGTTCATGTGCGCGTACGGCTGCAACTCATCAAAGTTGGGCCGTAGCACCACCGCCGGCCCGTTGGCCGAAACGTGTCCCGAGGGCTTGTCCGAGGCTTGGCCCAGAGACGTCGAGGCCACCTGGCCAGGGGAGGTGGGGGACATGGGTCCCAATAAGGGAGTGCCCGGGCCTTGCATGGGGGATAACTGCTGGGCGGCGGGGGGCGGCGTGCCTCCGACCACGCATCCCGACGAAGGTGCGGTGGCAGCAGTAGTGGGGGGCTGCCTGGTGGGCGCGGGGTCCAGTGGAATGTTCTCCATGTTTTCTACCTCCATGTCCAGCTCCTCGGTGTTGGGAGGCTTGTTCTCCTCGCTGAAGAAGAAACTCATTTCCCTGAAGGGAGGGTCCAGATCCTCTTTGATGCTGCTGATGATCTCCAGGAAGGACGGCCGCATCTTGGGATTGTACTGCCAGCACATCCTCATCAGCTCAAACCTGCAGGGGATGCACAGAAGACAAATACATGCACAGTAGAGCTTTTTATCATTCAAAGAAATGGTTCACTTTTTAAAAATCTGATATAATACATTTGAACTATGAACGTCAAGATGACTTCCTTCTAAAAAGACCAACATTTTGAAAGACACCAACGTTTAACTCACTTTGACTGCTTTGTCATTTTAGCCTAAACTTCACAGCCAGAAGGATTAGAGGGAAGTTTACAGCAACTCTTGCAAATGGCCAGCGTTGCATTAACACAGACTTGGAATAAACATGGAACTACCCTATGAAACGTTTTATTTCTCACCAGCAGGTGGCAGGAGACACTGAAGTTAAAGCTCAGTTCACTATGTTGAGCTTTGTTGACATTACAAGGCATTGTACTGTAAACTGGACAAATACACTGTACTACTCAATTTCATACAGGTTTGTTGCTGAGATGTGGTTTTAGTGAACACACCATTTCAAATGAGGTATTAAAAATGTGGGTGTGTTTTATGTCTACAACATGCATAGTGGCATCAGTAACGGCTGGCAGGTTCCTCTGCCAGGCCAGCAGCCGAGCTTTGGGAATGTAAAAACAACATCATAAAAAGAGAGAATTATTACAGTCATGTGCGGTGCTGCACCACACGCCACAACTTCAATTATACACAAACAAGCTAAGAATACTCGCCGAGGCCGGCTGACAAACACCTCAGACATCTCAGCTGCGCTCTTTCTGTTCCCTCTCTCTTGTTTTCTTTCTCTCGCTGTAGTCTCTTTGCAGTCTACAACAGTCTCTGCACAGGGGAATTATGGGTAGAACTAAGCACCCGCCCTGCCTCGCCTCCTACTCAGGCAGCAGGGGGTGGCTTGTTTTTTGTTTCGTTTTTCTTCAGAAATGCAAAAAAGTGTCCCAATGCCGACGTTAGGATGTCCAAACACAGGCGGCAAAGACCTCCCACGAAAAGACACGTAACGCTCGGCCACTCTGGAGTAATACAGCTTACGTATGTGTGTCTGAACTTTACCAATAACTGCCTGTTATAAACAGGCGAGATAGTGACAAAAATGTGCTTTCAAAATTAAATTTGGCCACAGTCTGGCTTTTACAAAAGAACACAGTCTGTGCACAGTCTAGACACAGAAGAAATTTCACCAGCCTAACAAAAAGAAAAATGGACAAAAAGAAATCTGGACACACTCACATAGAACAGACACACGTCCAGGCCAAGTGGAGTACAGAACACTTTCATAACATCTATGGTAAATGTTTAATCATTTAATAATGGTAAATAACAGTAATAATAACCTTTCAAAAGAAATCTGTTGTTTAATATAACCACGGAGTCTAAATTTCCTTTGGACCCAACCCTGCAAGAGAGAACGGCCTTTTGTCCACAGCAAACCAAACAAGTAACAGAACACAGTCGGTGGCCCACAGCTACCTGAGCACAGGAGAGATTGTACAAGGAGGCGACATTCAGGGCACTCCAAGAAAGACTCATCGTGCTCGCATGTTTCTCTTTCGTCTTTATATTCACTTTGTAAAGACTTTGGGCTTCACTGCACTACACTCTTGCGGAGCTCTCAATTAAGACGCAGCATTGAAGGCAACCAGCAGCAAAAAAGGCCTGAAAACCTACAGACCGGGGGAGGTTAGCCCACGTTACCACCACCACCTTTGTAACACAATCCACACACTCCTGTAATCGGGTCAAAATAGTCAGGCTGCCATAGGAATGGCGCAACATTCGGCCCTCTTCCTAAGGTGAGGTCAGCCGTGGATGGCGGGAGGGGAGGAGGCAGAATGCCTTCTCATTGAGGTCAGAGTGGAAGAGGAGAGAAACGCTGCATGCAGACAAGAAGCTTGTGCCGTTGATGTCTCTCTCTCTCTCCTCTTACAAGCCAAGACGATTCACGAGGGATTCTTTCCCCATCTTTCCCACCACATTTTACTGACGGACGGACGTCATCTCGCTAATCGCGCCGCTCGTCGTCCCCTTCTAGGGGCCCGGGGTTGACGGGGCTGACGGAGGCTTCTCGCTGCCAGCCCACCACCAGGTTCCACGTCACTGACAGACCGCATTTAACCTGTGACGTTAATGTCAGGCCTCATCTTGGCTCTGACAAAGCATGCGCAGCACATTATATCTTACACGCTTTGAACCGCGACTCAAAATAAATACTGGACAAAATATGAATGTGACAGGAGGCCGTGCGAAGCCCTTCGGAGGCGATGGAATGTAAACCACACACCGCTGCTGATCACAGAAACAAGGAGACTTACAGCATGTCAGGGCAGTTGTCAGGTTTGTCCAAGAGGCCCCCCTCCATGACGAAGCGCAGAACTTGTTCATTGGACATGCCCTGGTAAGGCTGTTCTGACAAGGTGGCGATCTCCCACAGCACGACACCAAACGACCTGCGGCAGGAAATAAAAGAATTATCTAAAATCAATTCATGATTCTGCCTCTTCTCTGACGTCAACGAGGAGCCGCTTGCCTTGAGTGCAACAGCTCAAAACGTTAGAGGCTGTTGTGTTACAAACAGTTTGTTCCCCTTTCTTTTCTTCTGTTTCTATTAGAAGGAATTCTTTTTTACAGAGAAATAAGTCAGAGTGACTCCTTGCAATAAAGAGAGAGATCCTGCACCATGTTTTTTCGGCCAATCAGACTTTCATCAGATTATTCATTCAATTTTACCCAATAAAGGTCTGAGGACCAAAACATTATCAAGACTCCATAAGTGGCCAGAGCAATGTGAAAACATTTACTGAGCGGAGGATTTTGGAGAACAATTTGAGAAAGCAGCACACAGCAGACATCTTCTTATGCTGTCACCGTCATGTTAAACCTAAAACCTGACAGACCTTCAGCATTGAGGGTAATATAAGCTGTGCATCAGCGGGGCAATCCCTCTTGTGCTATTATTGCTGGACTCAGTGCAAAGAATTTCAGAAGTTCTTTGCTTAATTGAGAAAATGGAACAATACTTTTTTTCCACTCCTGCTTTTCATAGTTTCACAACTTGCATTAAATTCAGTTTACGTTCAACAGTCTGTCATTACAACGCTGCATACGAGAAGCGTCTTGCTGCTTACAGACAAAGCCACATTTGGAGAGTTTTTCTCAATCAACAAAATAAAAGTCCCCTACTCGTGGATTCCTAAGGAGCCCATAATGGGTTGGTGTGTTACACTAAACTTCCACTGCACAACATCAAAAAAGAAGATAGAGAACGCAAATGTGGAGGTGGGTTTGTGCTGGCACTGCAGCCTATCATTTCAGAACATCTGGAGCAGTTTAAGCCCACTCTTAAGGACTGACCCGTGGGACAATTCGAGTTGGGAAACAAAAAAAGGGAGCTAGTAAACACTCGTATTTTTGTACAACAATATTGTTCCTCATAGAAAATGTGGCAGGACTGTAAACTGAGATTTTAGTGCAAGCTGGCATAAAAAAAAGGTGTCACTTAAAAGAATACAAATGATTCTTGTTCTACGCTACCCAGGAGACGGCGGAAAACCAAAAATGTTTGCTAAATCAGAAATGCATGTTCAAACGCAAGTAATGTGTGTGTGTGTGTGTGTGTGTGTGTGTGTGTGTGTGTGTGTGTGTGTGTACACATGTTTTTACAGTTTTGACACCGTAGCATGACAAATTAGGACAGGTTTGTACATGCATAACCCAGGTTTCTGAGTGGGTGTGAGAGAGTGATGTGTCCACATACCAAACGTCAGACATTGTAGTGAACACGCCATCTTTCAGCGACTCTGGAGACATCCAGCGGACTGGCAGCAGGCCCTTTCCTCCTTTTCTGTAGTAATCCGTCTCATAAATATCTCTGGTCATGCCAAAATCTGAAAGAAGAGAGAAAAAACAGAGGTTGGGAAAGCCTTTAAGTATCACTTATTCAGTGTGAGAGAGGCAGCTCCCGAGAGTTCATCCATTCCCTCACTTTCTCCCTCCCTCTGTCCATCTACATTACTCTGCCTCAGTCGCTCACTGAAACCCAAGCAGTCCAGTTCAGCGTTGAGCAACCCGGGGAAGCTGTAGGCATACCATTAACTTGACTTACCTCCGATCTTCACAGTGAAGTCCTCAGCTACCATGCAGTTTCTGGCAGCCAGATCTCTGTGGACAAATTTGTTGGCATTTAGGTACGACATGCCGTCGGCAATTTCCCCTGCCATCTGGATCATCTTTTGAGCGGGGGTAGGACCTGGCTGGTGGCGTTCTGGGGATAATGAAAAAACACGGTACAGTCAGCCTCACCGGTGGACAGTGGCTACAGCCGGGCATTATAAAGTGAGGTATGGATGCTATGTGAAGAGCGAGGCCCGTGAAAATAAATGTGGGCAGAATGTGTGTGTTGGCTCCGTGTGACAATTCACACACCGTCAACCTATTTATGTAAGAGCTCTAGCATAGAGGTGAAATGTGTGTGTTCATGCGGGTGTGTGAGAAAATGCTGCTTACTTCTTTGCGCAGAGAGCGCAGGTGGCTCTTGAGATCTCCTCGCGTCATCAGCTCCATAATCACCAGGGTCGGCTGTCCCTGAGAGACCACGCCCAGCAGCCGCACCTTCGCCAATCAAAGGAAGTCCCAGGTTAGGCGTGAGACGTCAAAAGTGCTAAATCCATTCTACATTAAATCTAAGTTCTGAATATATAGAGTACGAGTGTGCAAAACAGTCAGCAATCACAAAAAAGAAACCTTGTCAACAACACATCAAAAAAAATTGATGTGTTGTTGATGGACTGAATTCTACCACAATGCAACCGTAAAAGATGATTATAGAGCTACCTCGGATTACCTCAGAAACTCAATAAACACTCCTATTGCAGCAGGCATAGTGCTCATCAGAGAATGTACCCATTCCCCCAGAGGCTAAACTGTGCATCATGTTGTAGTTGCATGAGTAAAGTAAAGCACAGCGAACTCAGTGCTTGAGACCTCGCGACACCTTTTTCCCTGCAGCTATGTAAATTAACTATGAAATGATATTAAATTGCATTTTGTTGCGATTAGGTTCAGCAAATCAGCGTGTTGCTTTATTTCGAGCCATATTGCAAACAATCTATCTGTGTTCATTTGACGCTTTTCTCACTCAGTTCAGGCTGTAGACGCTCTCTTACCACATGGTGACAGTTGAACTCCTTCATCACAGAGGCTTCGTTCAAAAACTCGATACGCTCCCTCATGCTGGCCGACTCGTTGACCGTCTTGATGGCCACTCGCGTCTCCTGTTCGTCCTTGACCACTCCCTTGGCGAGTCCTTCGTACACCATGCCAAAGGAGCCCTGGCCCAGCTCCTTGTGCATCGTGATCTTCTCTCTGGCCACCTCCCACTCATCTGGGACGTACACTGGAACAACATAGCGGACAGCGTCAACAACACGCACGCACACGCGGAAAACCAGAGGAAACTTTGACAAGATATTGCACTTCCTTACTTTCAGCAGCACTGAAGTACTCAGGGTTGACAGACGCATAAAGGACTCCCTTCCCCAGTCTGTCGCTATTCCTACCAACACAAAGACAGCAGAGTTAGGCAGCTGGACGCACCAATTCGCAGATGTGATAGGTAATTCTCTTAACCACAAGGAAATGTTAATGAAGACAGCACCTGTGCACAGCAAAGTGGATTCATACTTGCCTCTTTTTGTTCACAAAGAAGACAACCGTGGTGAGGGTGGCGATGAAAAGTGTCACTATGATGGGAATTATGATGACCAAATAGAACGCCACACCATCATCTCCTGCCAGACAGAACAGAAAAATAAAACAATCAGCACTAACTAAAGATGTCATTTCTCATGTAAAACATCATTTTTCCAATTAAGAGTACTTAATGTGCAAGAAATGTTGTTGGGTTTTTTTTTTACGTTTGGGTGGAGGCACGTAGAAGAACACTCTGTCTGTCCAGGAGCCGTTCCCTGCAAGTGAAGTGGCACGCACGCGAGCAGAGTAATTCCCCGAGCCCAGGTTGGTCAGCCGGGCTCCTTGGTACAGGCGGTACTGCTGCCGTGACACACACTCGTGTTTCTCAGGCTGAAAGGGAAAAAGAAATGTGAGGTGAGGTCAAGTGTTGTGCATTCGTTTTGAATAAAGGATTTTAAACCCCAATGGGAACTTGGACATCCGTAATCTTAAAAGTCTTGTTAAACTTCAGCGCCACTGGTGCCGAATGATGTATGTGCAGAGCTGCTGGAGGTGGAAAGTACCTTTAAGTGTGTGCGCTGGGCATTGTTGCATTTTGATATAGCGTTAAACACGAGGGGGTCTTTGGTTATACCCAGACTGTCTTACCTCTGTCCCCAGACGAAACTTGATCTCATACATCAGGATGAGACCGTTGGGCATGAAGGGATCCGGCCAGTGCAGAACCACACAACCTTCAACCTTGTCACTTCTCCCATTGGTCACTTTTCCAGGGATGTCGTCTGCTTTGCCTGGGAAACACACAACGAGCACTTGTTTACAACGCGTTGTAGGAGAAGATGTTAACGCAGACTGTGCCATATTTCATCAATTGTAGATTCTATCCAGGACCCTTATTTACCTGCCGGTTTGGTCCGGGAGAAGACAAAGGCTCCAGCGCTGCAGCGCCCGACCTCTTCGTTACATGCATGGATATCGATGCGATAGACAGTGAAGGGTCGCAAGTTGAGGATCTCTAAATATTCGGCTGTGCTCTTGTCCTCTGAGAAGGGGAACTCCCTGATTGGAGGAATACCATCGGTACTGTTATCCTCTGGACCAATGGTGGAGTTTCCCCTGCCGACACCGTGATGGAGCAGCGTGTCGTTAGCCGAGCCAAACACATCTCTACGTCGACGATCTGGCGGCCTGAAATACAAAAGTACAGCTGTAAAACGCATGGAGAAGGTCCCACTGTAAGAAAAACAACTTTTGCACTAATCCTAGTCATCGCGGGAAAAAAAGTATAAAAGTGTCCCAAAAGAAAGCAGACATGACAGGAGAATAATAATGTATACTTGAATATATGTGACATTCTCTCATAATGACAGATGAGGACACCCAAACCAGGGGCCATTGCAGTGAGTGCACCTGGTGGTGGTCTCATAGTGCAGCGGAGACGCCTGGAGATCAACATCGGCATTATTATTGGGTTAAGGAGCCTTTGCGGCGCTCTAGCAAGGGGATTAATGTTTTGGGGGATGTTTGTAAATGTAATGAGGACAGCATGAACACGTGGAAGTTTTATATTGCAGCAGATTAAAGAACTTATATATATGGGCAATTAGGATTGCAACCAACAACTATTTTAAGTATTTGTTAATCTGACGATTTGTCCCTAATTAGTTCACTTAGTCCATAAAATGTAAATGATGCCTATCACCACCACAGACAATAAAGAGACTGAACTGAGCAAAGCTTACAGTCAAGCATCGTTTGAATGTGAGTAGACGTACACCCACACGAGGAGTGTACAGAAACAGACGGATCCCAGGGCAAGAACAGTCGCACTGACACGTCAACATTCCTCTCTGACAGTTATAACTGAGTCAGTAAAACCACTGAAAAAATGCTACTATTGAAAAACTCTCACAAAATACATGAAAACCGCCACGTACGTCTTAAACTGTTTGGAGAGGCAGAGAGAGACGCGTGGACCACACTGAGAGGCCAGATGAAGGAAATGCAATGAGAGCGTTAGGTTGAGCAGGTCAGTCTTACAGCTGTGAGAAGATTCCTCAGGTGACCGAAGGATGACCTTATTTATTTGATACTGTCGACCACTCAATACTTTTGGACAGGTTGGAAAACTGGGTGGGGCTCTCAGGCACAGTCTTAAGCTGGTTCAGGTCATATCCACAAGACAGGAACTATTTTGTTTCCATTGGTGACTTTGTATCAGAAACAACCGACGTAACGTGTGGAGCCCCCAAGGTTCGATCTTAGGTCCGACTTTATTCAACATCTACATGCTCCCACTAGGACAAATCATGCAAAGAAATAAAATTGACCACCATTGCTACGCTGATGACACCCAAATCTATGTAGCGCTATCACCAAACGACTATCGCCCCATAGATCTTCTGTGCCAGTGCATTGAGCAAATCAAAGACTGGATGTGTCAAAATTTCCTACAACTAAATGAAGACAAAACTGAGATCGTTGTATTTGGTGCTAAAAAAGAAAGGTTTAAAGTAACCCAACACCTTCACTCTCTGTCCCTGAAAACATCAAATAAAGCCAGAAATCTGGGGGTTGTTATGGATTCAGATTTACACTTGGAGAGTCACATCAAATCAGTAACAAAATCGGCCTACTACCACCTCAAAAATGTAGCACGACTTAGAGGGCTCATGTCAGCTCAAGACTTAGAAACACTTGTACATGCCTTTATAACTAGTAGGCTAGACTATTGTAATGGTCTCCTTGCAGGTCTTCCAAAAAAAACTGTCAGGCAGCTCCAGCTTGTTCAGAACGCTGCTGCTAGAGTTCTAACAAAGACCAAAAAATGTGAGCACATTACACCAATTCTTAAATCCTTACATTGGCTCCCAGTATGTCAGAGATTTCAAAATCCTACTGCTCACATATAAATCACTACATGGTTTAGGGCCAAAGTATATCACTGATATGCTTCCACTACATAAGCCTTCAAGATCACTAAGATCTTCTGACACCAATCTGTTAGTGATTCCCAGAGTAAATACAAATCATGGGAAAGCATCATTTAGTTACTACGCAACAAACAGCTGGAATAAAACTTCCTGAAGATTTAAGACTTGCCCCAACTCTGACCACGTTTAAAACAAGACTGAAAACTTTTATGTTCAGCTTCGCCTTCTGCTAAACTTTACCTACATTGCACTTTAACCTCTGCCTTTAATTAAACAATTTAAATAAGATTTTAATTTATAATTTTATTTGCTGTTTTTAATTGTCTTTTAATTCCTGCATTTTATTTCACTTTATTGTATGAAATGTTATAATGTGAAGCACTTTGAGTCTGCCTTGTGTATGAAAAGTGCTATACAAATAAAATTGCCTTGCCTTGCCTTGCCTTATAACTTGTGAGTTACTAAAGTCAGTGTCCCGACCTCAACAGCTTACTTTTACACAAGTAGTGAAATCCAGTCAAGTAAAGCCTGGATCACACATCAGGCTCGTGGCGAGTAAGATTAATACTGCGGGCTCAATCTCTGGATCTGACAAAGGAAGAGGTACTCTTCTATTTGTCTCGTATGTAGACATCAATAGTTCCAACAGGGAGCGATTGCAGTAAATAAACGCTCCAGTCAATCTCCAGGTTTTAGATCGCACCACAAGGTCTCTCCGAAACCAGACAATGGCAGCCATCCTCCTTCTGCAGGGCCGATGGGGTGCTTCCTTAATTCATTTAAATTCCAGATGGATTCACTGTACATTTCCTGGGAGCTGTCTCACTCCAGAAAGAAAAAAAAGATAAAAAAGGTCCAAGACAAAGAGAGTTTGTAAGGGGAGGAGGAGAGCGAAGTGCCGGGCGGAGGGGGGTTGGTGGTGGGGAGGGGGGACAGAATGGAAAACATTTCCTCTTCTTTCTGTTTCTGTTTTCACACACCCTCTTTCCCTCGGCCTGGGTCTAAACCCTGAACCGTTGGAACAAAGCTCCCAGATTTTCGATCCCTTTCCCTGGAGTGGTTTGGCATAATGCTGGCTCTGTTACAGTGGAGAGTCTGTGCATACACAGCTTGAACCCTTCGCTGCAGGCCCGGGACCTGCCATCCGCTTGTTTCCTAGACAGCTATACCATAACAAATCAACACAGTCGGAGAAAGAAGGGAGGGGAGGAGGGAGGATACGAGTTCAACAAGACATTTTTTATTTATTTTTTTCCCCTACATTGCGAAGGAAGAGAAGAAAGACACTGTAGCGCTGCTTGAATAAATTAACTTTGGACACTTTGCAGTATAGATTAATAAGATACCTGCTCAGTTTCATGGTTAATCAAAGGTCTCCATAATTTATTGTCATGGACGTTGGAGATTCAAAGTACCGATTCAAAAGGCACAGATTGTTTGTGACTGTCTATATGAGAATGAGAAAGGAGGAGAACCAAGCGGGAGTCTTTCACAGAGCGAAACATCCTTAGCCACGAGCTAAGTTAAATGATAACACAACACAGATGTCACTCCTTATTGTGGAGAATAAAAGCATAAGCAGCCACAGGTGTGCAGCCAAACAAGGCTCTTCAGACTCCTTAATCACATCTCTCTCCTGGGTTTGTTTGTGTTGCCTAAATTGCTGCCTGCTTTGGTTCTAACATCCCTCGTGCCCCCGCTGCCATGGCAACACAAAGCCACAAGAGCACTAAAAGGCATTGGATCCTACTCAGCATGCCTCCTCATCTGCAACACATGACTAAATGGCCAAGCCCAGCAGGCCGGCTCAGCGCCCGTCAGGTACATCGTCGCCCCCCCCCCGCCCATCCCCCCTTTGCTCGGATTCTGTCAGCCACAACAAACCCGGCCCACCACCGCTTTCCTCATTCTGACCCTTAAAGGCGAACCACTCCAGCTCTTTTGATTGCCATCTTTACAGAATCGAAGGAAGCCCAGAGGAGTTGTAAACAGTTCAAGTGTGCATCTCTTCTACAAGGCCACCAGACATCCAGGCGACCTGAAATCGGACTAAGTATCTCTTTCTTTAAACCAAGCTAGTCTACTAAATTTGTTGTTGATTCTAGTGTCTTAAGTTAATTTGATTGCTGATTTGCTTTAGTTCTTGTCGTTTCACTGCGAGTTTTTTGTTTGAAGTTATCTTGGTTGCTAGTTTGCTCAAGCTCTTTCAGTCTTTTAGTGCCAGTTTGTGTTCTAGATTCTACTATTAAGTTAACTGCCAGTGTGCCCTCCTAACTCTGCTAGGTTTTGACCTGATCTAAGTCTGTTTTGCCTTGTCTTCTGAAGCAAATAAGACTTGAATCCTTAAACTCTCATTTTGTCAAAATGCCACATGGTGATTGTTCACTGATTAGGGTGTCAAGCTATTGGTGTTTTGCATTTTGAGGAGTTTCTGTCGAGGCCAATCAACCTTTTGTCTCCTAAACGACGGGGGGAGCGGCCAGCGCAGCCGCAGCCGACTTCCACTAACGAGGGAGTATTTAACTAGAAATCGTGGGAAGCGTTAGCTTCAGCGTTTACGTGTCCTCGCAGCACGAAGACGAGCAGAACAAAGACAAAGGAGTTTTCGTGGCAGTCTTCGGGGCGGCTGAATGCGGCGCCTTCTGCTATTTCTAATAATGTGTTTGACCCCTTTACCCGTACCTGTTCGAATCTCTTCCCGCAGATACTACAGGCCTCGGGCTCGATCTGCTCTCTATCGTAACCTCTCCTCTCTCACCGATCCCACCCGCTCCACACATGTCCAGCACCTCGTCACAGGAGGTCTCTGGAACTGCCAGTCAGCGACTCGCAAGGCTGACTTCATCTCCGGCTTCGCTATCGAGCAGTCACTCGACTTCCTCGCTCTCACCGAGACCTGGATCACACCTGAGAACACATCCACCCCAGCCGCTCTCTCCTCCGCCTTCTCCTTCAGCCACACTCCCAGGCCCACTGGTAGGGGTGGTGGCACAGGTCTACTCATTTCACCCAAATGGAGCTTTTCTCTCTACCCTCTACCACCATCCACCCCATTGTCCTTTGAATTCCATGCTGTAACAATCACTCACCCGGTACAATTAACCATCATTGTCCTCTACCGTCCGCCAGGCTCCTTAGGTCATTTCTTGGAAGAACTGGACATTCTCCTGTCTAATTTCCCCGAAAATGGACCTCCGCTCATCCTCCTGGGTGACTTCAACATCCAGACAGAGAAGTCATCTGACCTCGTACACCTACTTTCTTCCTTCGCTCTGTCACTCAGTCCCTCTCCTCCTACTCACAAAGCCGGCAACCACCTTGACTACATCTTTAATAGGAACTGCTCTACCACTAACCTCTCTGTAACTCCACTTCATGTGTCTGATCACTTCTTCTTCTCTTACTCCCTTCCACTCTCTATAACTAACAAACCTCCCTCATTGACTAACTCTGTACCGGCTCGTCGCAATATTCGCTCCCTCTCTCCCTCCTCGCTGGCATCCTCTGTTCTATCAGCTCTCCCTTCAACTGATTCCTTCTCACTCTTGCATCCGAACGCTGCTGCTGAGACTCTCCTCTCAACTCTTTCCTCCTCTCTAGACTCTCTCTGCCCTCTTACGACACGACGGACTGGCAAATCCCCTCCGGCTCTGTGGCTGTCTCAACCGGTCCGTGCCATGAGAGCCACCATGCGAGCGTCGGAAAGGAGATGGCGTAAATATAAACGACCTGACGACCTGCTTGAATTTCAATCTCTCCTCTCCTCGTTTTCTGCTTCTACCTCTGCTGCCAAAAGCTCCTTCTACCAATCCAGAATCGAATCCTCATTCTCTAACCCCAAAAAACTCTTCTCGATCTACTCTAACCTCCTCGAACCCCCTACCCCTCCTCCCCCCTCCACCCTTCTTCCGGGAGACTTTGTCAACTACAGTAATCCCTCGTTTATCGCGGGGGTTACGTTCCGAAAATGACCCGCGATAAGTGAAATCCGCGAAATAGAAAACTTTTTTTTTTTTTACAATTAGCAACTATTACATGTATACAAATACAGTGGCTCGCGTGTAGGCCGTTTCACTGCTCTTCAGACTGGGCCGCTGCATCCTGACTGCGCTCTGCAGTGTTCTCTTCTTCTGAAGCCCGCGGTGCAGGTGTGTTTGTTCGGGAGAAGAACATAGTGATAGGCAGCTGTTGTCGCTCTTTTTTCTTCTTTGCAGAAAGATCCTTGTACACCGACATGCCACCATCGATTACGTTGGAGAACTGTAATGAACGGCTCGGGAGTGAGTTTTTAGCGAATCAGAATGCAGAGCACAATGCACCAAAAAAAAAAAAAATGCAATATGAAAATCCGCGAAATAGCGAATCCGCGATAAGTGAACCGCGAAGTGGCGAGGGATCACTGTACTTCACCAAGAAAATAGCTGACATACGCTCCTCCTTCTCAAACCCACTTCCTACTTCTCGCGTCCCACCGACCTCACCTCTTTCGCCCTCACTTTCCTCTTTCACCGCCCTCTCTCCTAACCAAATTCTTACCCTAGTAACCTCTTCCCGTCCGACCACCTGCCCTCTTGACCCCATTCCATCACATCTTCTACAATCTATCGCACCTGACCTTCTTCCGTTCCTCACCTGTCTCATCAACAACGCTCTGTTATCTGGCTGTTTTCCCAATTCTCTGAAGGAGGCAAGAGTGAACCCTCCCCTGAAGAAACCCACCCTCAACCCTTCTGAAGAAAACAACTACAGACCGGTCTCTCTTCTTCCCTTTTTGTCCAAAAACCCTTGAACGTGCTATCTTTAATCAACTCTCCTCTTATCTCCACTGTAACAACCTCCTTGACCCCCACCAGTCAGGTTTCAAGGCAGGCCATTCCACAGAGACTGCTCTCCTTGCTGTCTCTGAGCAACTCCACACTGCTAGAGCTCCTCTCTCTCCTCTGTCCTCATCCTTCTGGACCTCTCTGCTGCATTTGACACGGTCAACCACCAGATCCTTATTTCCTCCCTTCAGGAACTTGGTGTCACAGGCTCTGCTCTCTTCCTTCTCTCGTCCTACCTCGACGGCCGCACCTAACGGGTAACCTGGCGAGGATCTGTGTCGGAACCTTGTCCTCTTACTACTGGAGTTCCTCAGGGTTCCGTGCTGGGTCCCCTCCTGTTCTACCTTTACACCAACTCTCCTGGCGCTGTCATTCGCTCGCATGGCTTCTCTTACCACAGCTATGCCGATGACACCCAACTAATTCTCTCCTTCCCTCACTCGGACACCCAGGTGGCGGCTCGGATCTCTGCCTGTCTAACTGACATCTCTCAGTGGATCCGCCCACCATCTGAAAATCAACCCCGACAAGACTGAACTACTTCTCTTTCCCGGAAAAGATTTGCTTACCCAGGACCTGACAGTCAACTTTGGAAACTCTGTACTAACGCCCACTTTGACCGCTGAGAACCTCGGCGTCACACTCGACAGCCAACTCTCCCTGACTCCCAACATCACCGCGACAACGCGATCCTGTAGATACACGCTCTACAACATCAGGAGAATACGTCCCCTTCTCACTCAGAAGGCAGCGCAGGTACTGATTCAGGCTCTTGTCATCTCCCGCCTGGACTACTGCAACTCCCTCCTGGCTGGTCTCCCTGCCACCCGCCATCCCACCTCTGCAGCTCATCCAGAATGCAGCAGCTCGACTGGTCTTCAACCTTCCGAAATTCTCCCACACTACTCCACTCCTCCGCTCTCTTCACTGGCTACCGGTGGCCGCCCGCATCCAGTTCAAAACATTGGTGCTCACGTACCATGCTGTGAATGGATCGGGTCCAGCTTACATCCAGGACATGGTCAAACCCTACATCCCAACCCGCACTCTCCGCTCTGCATCTGCAAAACTACTCGTCCCTCCCTCACTGAGAGCAAAACACTCGACTAGATCTCGACTCTTTGCTGTCCTTGCGCCGAAATGGTGGAACGAGCTCTCTGAAGACACCAGGACCGCAGAGAGCCTTCACATCTTCCGCCGCAAACTAAAGACACACCTCTTCAGACTCTACCTCGACTAAAGACTAACAAATTGTAGCACTTAAATTGTACTTGTAACGTCACTCATCTATAGCAAATTGTAAATTGGCTTTTTTGAGGAAATTGCATTTTCTTGTTTCTTGTTCTCCTGAGTTTGTACCCTATGGTTGAATGCACTTACTGTACGTCGCTTTGGATAAAAGCGTCCGCTAAATGACATGTAATGTAATGTAATGTAACAGATGACTGGGAGCCAGGTATTAGAAGCGTAATATCAGTAGCTTAGTTCACCTCGGCAGAAAGATGGCGTTGTGAAGGAAGTTCTCAAAGATTTTCAAAAAGACGCGGTCATCCTTCTCCCTGTCCTTCTCCTCAGGCGTCTTCTGGCATTTACAGCATGGGCCCTTGTCTCCGCCTGCTAGGTCTGACTTGGTGGGCTTGGTGTTGTCCTCCATGTCCGTGAACCCTGTGCCTGGGAGACGGATCGGGACCTTCAGTTCTGTTTTAGTAGAAAACAAGTATTAAGCAACGGGAACGATAGATAAGATGTTTTGATATATTTTCTGCCCAGATTTATACGTCAATATTAAAGAACATTTTTCAGTTTTTTGCTGCGTTTAAGATGAGAAGATTGATACAACTCTGAATGAAAATAGGAAGCTTACAGCCAGCAGATTGTTAACTTAGCTCAGTAATTACAATTCCTTTTTGTTCTTTTCATGTATACAAAAATCAAAAGTGTAGAAAAGGAACATTTCAATTCCTTTACAATCTTTATGCTAAGCTAAGCTAACTAGCTGCTGGCTATATACACACAGAGTGGGGTACCTTTGGAGCAGTAGTTATGTTGGTAGAGCTCCCTGTCCTCGGGCTGCTGCTGCCATCGGACCAGGTAGTACGTGAGGTTGCCGTTGGGGAAGGCTGGGGGCGACCACTTTACCATTAACGTGGTTGAGGAGTTGGCATACGCCCGGGCATCTTTGGGCATAGACGGCGCTGCAAATGGGCCAAAGACAGTTCGCTACATCATTTATTTTTACAGTAATTACTAAAAGGGTTGATGATAATACTATTCACAGCATTATTTATAACTGGCGAATACAGTATCGGTGCGAACAGGCTGATGGCTGACAGACTTACGTGATGGGCGTGTGCGGATGTAGATGATATCACTCTTTGCTCCAGTAATGTGTTTGTTCTCCACCTGGAGGGTGATGGCCTTCACAAAAATAGCGTACTGGGTCCAGGGCTTCAGTTGTTGAAGACTGACTTTAGGGTCATTGATTTTATCCTGAGGCAAATCCACATCCACCATGTGCCAGCTGTTTGAGCCACAGCCATCCTGTCCGTCAAACTCCGTGATGTTCTGAAACGGGCTGGCAAAGACACAAAACATAATTATACATTGATTAAAAAGAATTCGCTTAAAATGATATGTTCACCATTTAAATAAGGAAGACATCTATGTACATAAAAATGCATTGATGGTGTGAAAATTAATCATATTCTAAGTCAAGGATATGATTCATCTCAAAAACAATATTACATACCTAAAAGACAGCAACTTTTTGCTTGTATAAGTTAAATTTGTATGAGAAAATCCAACCCAGATTAAACCCAGACCAGATATGATGATGTTAATTTGGTTGGTTGTATTGCAGTTCTTCTGCTAGTCATTTGTAATAAGGGTTTCTCAGTAATGTGAAGTTAATCGTGATTAAGATAATTAAGATTCATATTACATAAAGACTAATACATTAAGGAGAATCCTGTTCCAACCCGAGTGGCCAAAACAGAATATGTTGTTGCAAAAAACACCTCATCTATACCCATCCTGCCTTATTGGGAGTTTTGTTTCTAAGTACTCACGACTCCTTGTAGTAGACTACGAAGCTGATCAGGTCACTGTAGCCCTGCGGCGCGTAGCGCTCCCATGTCAGCCTCATGCTGTGGCTCGTAGTGATGTTAGACTTGAACTTCAAGACATGACTTTCACCTGTCGACAGAGCAGGACGCGCAAGAGACGAGTGCGGCGTTAAGACAATTCACAACAAACAAATCCGTCCATTGTCTTTCAATGCATCGAAGTCCATCCGAATACACTCACAGCTGGCTCGTTCACCGTTGTTACGGAAATCTCCCTTCTCTGGCTTCACGGCAATGCCCGTATTCTCCCACATATTGTGGATCTCAATCATGCAGAGTTTGGGGTTCAGACGAAAGAAGAGACGTCCATTCTCAATAGTCAGGTTGTGTTGATTCCAGTCCCACAAGTACTGCAGGTGCTGGTTGTCTATGGCCGAAAACGAATACATGCTGAAAATGGAAGGAGATGAATGAGAGGACACAGACAGCCCTCACTGATTAACAGCAGCTGAATGTATATATATGAACTTGTTTCGTGGAAGCTGAAGTTGTCAGAAATGCGGTTAAACAGGAGCTTTCGGGCGGCCCACGAATAGATAAACGTTGCATGAGGTTTGTGTGTCTGTTTGACAGCCCGGGTTCATACAGAGGACAGACACAGATCATGCTAATACTCTGAGCTTGAGTCGGTCGGTTACGCAGCTGAACACCTCCAAAGTGAAAGTAATGTCTGCCATCGTCAACGGCGTTCCTCAGAGAGAAACTGCCCCGGGAGAAACAACAAGAAGGACGACGGGATTTCCCATGACCCCTCTGGCCATAACCAAAAGGGCTTTTTTTCTCATATCTAAACTGCTGCTGATGTCACACTTTGACAGAAAACCCTTTTAGCTTTGTAGTCACGCTCATAATTCTGGCCTGTCTGAATCACTATGTTTTTAAAATGTCTACAATACACTGGACACTGGCTGCTCGTGACCTCTTATTGCCTTGCCAATAAGCGCGCACAAATTCAGCGACGAAAACAATGCAGACAAACATCGCGGACGTACTTGTCGATGAGTTCCTGGCCACTGATGTAACGCAGGCTCTTGAGGAAGGACAACGAGCCGAGGGCGTGGGAGTGCCGAATCTTCACGTAGCCCGTCACTGTCTGGATCAACCCCATGAAGCTCTCCAGCTCAGACGCTATGTTATCTGGGGACGGGATGAACATACACAGACGGAGATATTAAACAGCAGGTGAAAGCGACGTTGAAACACGCTTCAACGTGTTATAATATGTCAAGATTGGATTGTGAGCTGCGCGGCCAATTGAGCAAATACATTATAGCATCATACTATTTATGGGCTGTAAAGCCCAACATTGTGTAGTAAAATCAGTATAATGAAAAATTTGAGAGCGCATTGGACGACGGATTGGCAACAAATAAGGGATTGAATGTGATGTTGCTTAATGTAGTGTAGCATATTCTACTAAGCTCAGCTACACTGAGACATCACATAATATGTTGTGTTATAAGCACTGTGCGTCTGTGTGGCTTCACCCACTTCCACGGCGGATATTGATGTCCAGATTGCCTTCGATGATGGTGCAGTCCTTCAGGGACTGAGCAGCGTTCACCGAGTCGATGATGGGCGACGTGCAGACCTTATCACACAGGCCATTGCAGGGAGTGCAAAACATACTGTTTACAGCAAAAGCAGAGAGGATAAGAAGAAAGTAAATTAGTAATACGTAATGTCAGAGAATGAAAAAAAATAAAATAAACGTTTCTACCTCACCCTGAAATCGTTTGTCCACTCTCTGTTTCCCAAGCATTCCAAAGGCAAATAAATTCCCTCCATAACACAAGGTCACCTCACACACAGAGAGTTTAATCTTTTATGGGCCCTGGTCTAAACGTCTTGAGAGTGTGACTCACTGTATTGACCTCATAGATAAAAAAAAGTATGGCCAAGAGCACAGCACAGAGTCGGATAGAAATTTGGGAATCAACGAGATGGGGAGGGAAGTCGCATGTAAAGAATTTTCTCTTTTTGAGGCAGAATGTCAAACAAAGGAACATCAAGTGAATATTTGAAGTGGACTCGTCTTAAAACCTTTTAAGTATTAATCTATAAAATCTACTAGTGATGTTGAAAGCGTTGAAAAGGCCATTCACTCTTTTAAAAGCCTTTACCGGTTTGCCTCTCGCGTGAAGCCAGAGGGGCAGTCGAGCATGCACTCTCCCCCATGGATGACAAAGGGAGTATCGCCGGGCAGGTGCACTTGGGAGCACAGGTCCATGGTGATGCAGCGCCAGCCCTCAAACTTGTAGGTGTCTGGGGGACAGTACGGCACGCAGCGATCCTCGTGGTAGTAGTGGAGGCAGCCGGAGCACGCCATGTCGTTGTTGGGTTCGGTGCAGCTGCCCAGGCACTGGCTGTGGCAACACTCCCCCTGGTCTGTACAGGCCAGCTTGCAGTGTTCGGGGCATACTGGGGGAAAGATAGAGAGACGGGGAGGAGGTCAGTTTTGATTGGTCGTGAACAGTTTGCGCGACCGAGCGCTACTACAACAAAGTCGAGGATGATAAACCACAGTCTGTGAATAATGCCTATAATAGGTTAATAAGGATCACGTGTGTGCGTTCACAACACATGCTCCTATACACGCTGCACAAGTCCCACTAACAGCCTCTGAGCAATACCGCACATACTTTCAGGTTGTGAGAGGAAAGAAAAGAAAAAGTCAAATCAACAGGATAATTATTGTGTGGATTGTTTCAAATTAAGCTAGAGCAAAACAAATGACAGTTTCCTCACTGTTTACTGAGCATCCCTGAGAAAGCAGAACCCAAACCCCATAATATGTTATCAATAACACACAGGTTTTCCACATTGATTGAAACAGACAATTGAAAGAGTTTTGAAAGTTTGACAGATTTAGAGAACAAAACTTTGACACAGAAAGGATTAAAGTTACTCATTAAAGGTAATAAGGCCAAAAATGAGGCCAATGCTTGTTGGTACCCACTCATGTTAATCTGATCAGCTGTTCGCTTAAATAAAAAATGTGAAAAGGACAAATGGAAGGTTTGTTTTACTGCTGAAACTTATTCATGAAGTAGCATGTCAGTAAAAGCAGATGTAAGGATGCAAAGCTTATGGTTCCCAATAGCTCTTGAGGCACTGCAGGCAGAGGTCTCCTAGTTGATGATTCCACTCCTGAGCACCTGTGTGTGTGTTGTGTGTGTGTGTGTGTGTGTGTGTGTGTTTGTGTGTGTGTGTGTGTGTGTGAGTGAGTGAGTGTGAGTGAGTGAGTGAGTGAGTGAGTGTGAGTGAGTGAGTGTGAGTGAGTGAGTGAGTGAGTGAGTGAGTGTGAGTGAGTGAGTGAGTGTGAGTGAGTGAGTGAGTGAGTGTGAGTGAGTGTGAGGGAGTGAGTGTGAGTGAGTGAGTGTGAGGGAGTGAGTGTGAGTGTGTGAGTGTGAGGGAGTGTGAGGGAGTGAGTGTGAGTGAGTGAGTGTGAGGGTGTGAGTGTGAGTGAGTGTGAGTGAGTGAGTGAGTGAGTGAGTGTGAGTGAGTGTGAGTGTGAGTGGGTGTGAGTGAGTGTGAGTGTGAGTGAGTGAGTGTGAGTGAGTAAGTGAGTGTGAGTGAGTGTGAGTGTGAGTGAGTGAGTGAGTGTGAGTGAGTGTGAGTGAGTGAGTGTGAGTGAGTGAGTGAGTGTGAGTGAGTGAGTGAGTGTGAGTGAGTGTGAGTGAGTGAGTAAGTGAGTTTGAGTGAGTGAGTGTGAGTGAGTGAGTGTGAGTGAGTGAGTGTGAGTGAGTGTGAGTGAGTGAGTGTGAGTGTGAGTGAGTGAGTTTGAGTGAGTGAGTGAGTGTGAGTGAGGTGAGTGAGTGTGAGTGAGTGTGAGTGAGTGAGTGAGCGTGAGTGAGTGTGAGTGAGTGAGTGAGTGAGTGAGTGTGAGTGAGTGTGAGTGAGTGAGTGTGAGTGAGTGAGAGTGAGTGTGAGTGAGTGAGTGTGAGTGTGAGTGAGTGAGTTTGAGTGAGTGAGTGAGTGAGTGAGTGTGAGTGAGTGATGTGAGTGAGTGTGAGTGAGTGAGTGAGTGAGTGAGTGTGAGTGAGTGTGAGTGAGTGAGTGAGTGAGTGTGAGTGAGTGTGAGTGAGTGAGTGAGTGAGTGTGAGTGAGTGAGTGTGAATGAGTGTGAGTGAGTGTGAGTGAGTGAGTGAGTGAGTGTGAGTGAGTGAGTGTGAGTGAGGTGAGTGAGTGTGTGAGTGTGAGGGAGTGAGTGAGTGAGTGTGAGTGAGTGAGTGAGTGAGTGTGAGTGAGTGTGAGTGAGTGAGTGTGAGTGAGTGAGAGTGAGCGTGAGTGAGTGAGTGAGTGAGTGTGAGTGAGTGAGTGTGAATGAGTGTGAGTGAGTGTGAGTGAGTGAGTGAGTGAGTGTGAGTGTGAGTGAGTGAGTGAGTGAGTGAGTGCGGAGTGTGAGGTGAGGTGAGTGAGTGAGTGTGAGTGAGTGAGTGAGTGTGAGTGAGTGTGAGTGAGTGAGTGAGTGAGTGAGTGTGAGTGAGTGTGAGTGAGTGTGAGGGAGTGAGTGTGAGTGAGTGAGTGAGTGAGTGAGTGAGTGAGTGAGTGAGTGAAAATGAAGCTGGACGCTGAGCTAATCCTCTCTTGATGAATATTTTATGTTGCTTTAAAAAAACATCTGTATATAAGACCGTGATGGTGCACACAGTGATGCTCCCAAAGTTGCCAACTCCAGTTTGGCTTCACAAGGGCATGGAAGGATTATTCCAACTCCTTTTACTAAAATACTTGCTATCACATCCAGCCAAGTGCCACAAGTTCAAAGGAGAAATGGACGGTTACTGAAAATTCTATAACAAAATATATGTTCTGTTAAATGTCATTGTGATTGACCTGGTAGAACACCTTTATTGTTCAATACACAGCAGCACCACACACTCTTCTCCTGATAAGACCGTAAAATAAAAATACACTGCGGTAAACATTGTCATGATGAAATGAGCAAGAAGAATATTTACCTACATGGCCTCTCCACTAATGTACCCACGCACAATGTGTGTGTGTGCACTCTTGGATACTTCATGGATACAAAACTATTCTGGCTGTGGTCCATAACAAAAAAAGAAGATTAAAGAAGAAGATTCTTTCAAACTACTGCATTGAAGGCCAATAAACACAATATTTTCTATAACAGCAGTAATTCACTGGAGATATGATGCTGACATCAGTGTTGCACTTTTGCACATTGGAGAAACCTCGAGGAGGGTTTATTCTGTTGGAATCCGCCAAAAGCGAGCAGCCAAGGCAAACTCCGATGAGATCCGATGCGATCTGATTTGATGAGGTCCCCTTCGGTTCCGCATCATTTTAACCGATTCCTCAATGAAGACAAGTTCCAAACATGCATAACTTCCGTTACAAGAAAGCAGAGAGAGAGAGAGAGCTGCTCCTTTAAATCCATATACCATCCATATACCAACAACCCGTGGTATCAAGGATACCGCCTCCATTTATAGATGCTCCTAATAGCGTCGCTATTTCAACACTGTAGCTTTCAACACATAGCTATGCAGGCCATTGTGGGGTTTCCACTACTTCAAAAGCAACAGGACTTCCTAGCAAGGGGCTCCTCGTATCATTCTTGTACTCCCCTGACTGGATGCTCAATATGAACAAGAATAAATTAGAGGCATCGGCAGGTTGGGATTTGACCTTATGAACACACTGTATCACATGAGGCAACTGTTGCAGGGATCAAACCGTAGATACAAAAACATAAAAATTATCCGCAGCCCCAGAGTCCAACAAGTCCCACTGGTCGGTAGATGGGGTAGGGAGGTTCATGATGTTGTTCTACTCATTCAGTAGTTACACCGCACCACCACACCACACCGTCGTGCTCATTCCCTGAGCAGACAGGTCACGCCAAATCCAAAACACCAGCCCACCCCTGCTGCTGGCCAGAGCGCTACGACGCGCAGAGCGGCCACGGCCGTTTCATCAAAGGAGGCCACCAGAGCCCGCAATGAAGAGACTCCTTTTGAGCAACTCACGAGCAGTGTGAGGAAGTCATCAACGCTGAGAGACAGACAAATACAGTATTTTTCCGGGGGGGGTTTTCACCCAGTCGCGAAACTATGCGAAGAATCTGCAAAATGTTTCAGGCTGCAAGAGATTTAAGGCAGGTTATTGCCGTTGTGCTGCAACGACACAATAAAAACTGTGAATTTCTACGGAAACCTGAGATGGGAAGGTTACTTTGGCAGCAAACGATTATGGAGGTTTAAAGTAGGTGAGGAAATGAAGCCAAGGAGAAAACAAAAGGATACAAAAAGGTGTTGGTACTTTGCCCTCTAAAAAAGATGCATTAGAGCAAAAGGCGTCAAGCATCAAATTACTTTCTCCGTCAGCCCGGCCTGCCTTCTTAGAGCCCGGCATGCAAGAGAGCTTTAGGAAACCAAAACGCATCACCCATGCCTTACTCCTCCCTCTCCCCCCACAGTCCTGCATCAACAAAGAAAAAAAGCTTATAACAAGACAGCTAGATATCGAAACTCTGTGTGTGTCTGGAGAAGGGTTGATGTTTGTGTCTGCGTCTGTGTGTGAGGGTTCAAAGTTGGGATCTAAACAAAGCAGAAAACTTCAAGAATGACGTTGGTGCTTGAAGGGGAGGACGACTGCAGCGCAGCGATTTCCTCTTGTGAATGCCAGTCATGTCCTGTTTTGCTACAGAGCACGCGTTCTCAGTGACTACTACTTTGTTTACATCGGGAGGCCGGGGGACATTTTCACTGGGAGCGAGGACGGTCCACTCTAAAGTTGACTATTGTGTAAAAACACAAGCAGTTCTGTAAACTGGTATAATTTCCCCAACCAATCGCGGGTGTCAGCCAGTGAAACCTAAGACAGATCCAATGAAAGATGAAAGAGTTCATTGTTCCTAACATATCAAAGTGTTCACCTGCGTCAGTGAAGAGGAGTAGGAAGCGTGGCAGACAGTTGGGAAATCATTCATTATTCACACGTGGGGCTCGAGGGGAGGGACGACAGCGAGGAGGGTGTCTGGGAAGAGGAAGCTGGGGGTTAAACTCCAGACCAATAGCAAGTGGGCAGGGGAAGTTCCAATCCTGATGACTGACATGTTATTGAGTCTGGAGCAGAGATGGTAAACAAGTCCTCCCTTGAGCAGCCAGTGTTGAGGGGGAGTCGTTACTATAGTGATTATGCATGGCTTTTTACACCGTTTGGACTAACCATAAGTTAAGGGAGAACCTGAACAGACATATATTACCCACCAACGAGCCATAGTACAATTATTCCTGTTACTGGAATTTATGCTAAACTAATATATTAATGGAGGCTTTTTTTCAGAGAGGGATTTAAAGACCATTAAATGCAAGAGTATCTGGTTATGATAAAATGGTGTTGTTTTGTTTTATTACACAGAAACATTGATGGAGGAAAGAATTTGATGG